AAAGACGATTATGTATCTCATTGTAGTCTACTTGCATGCCACACTACTGTAAATCACTTTTTATTCGCGAGAACTTTATTTTCGCGTAATTACGCGAGACAGGATGCTCGCAAAAATTTCATTCTCGCGTATAATAGATTATATAGAGCAATGACCACAATTCGTGAAAATTTTGTCTCCCTAATAAATATCTATCTCGTGGAAATAAGGTGTCGCAAAAATTAAGTGATCTACAGTATATCAACATCAGACTAAAACTGTAGGAGGAGTAGCGTTTTGAAAGTATTTCACAGGGATCTTTATTTTTAGTAATCACCGCAACACCGTTCATCGAAATCAAAAACCAATATTATATAGAATTATGTATCTTAGTGTCATCTACTTGTGTGCCAAGTTATATTGAAATCAGAGCAAAACTCTAGGAGGAGTAGCATTGTAAAGTATTTCAGACATTTCTATTTTTAGTAACCACGACAACACCATTCACCGAAATCAAAAACCGACAAGAATAATGTATCTTAGTGTAGTCTACTTGTGTACCAAGTTATATTGAAATCAGACCAAAACTGTAGGAGGAATAGCATTTTGAAAGTATTTCACAGAAATAATTTGTAAAAATTACAGAATTATTGAAATTATTTGTCCATGATACAGCAAACACACCAATAATTTTGGGGGGGGGGGAATTTTTCTCTATATCACAATTTCTCCATAGAAGTAGGTCTTGATTAGTCCATATTTTTAAAGAACTTTCTTTTATAATTCATTAAAAGTTTTTCCTCAATGTTTGCATAAATATATACTTTTTTGGTTAGTAAAAATATGGAGCAATGACCCACTATTCCTTAAAAATACACATTATTACTTCACTTCACTTCATATCCTTCCAAAAATAGTTCACTTAGTCAGTCAATATTCATCAATAGTTGTGCAACCTCTATACCATAAGTATGTTAGTCTCAAAAGAACATAATACTTTTTTTTTTTGCTAGGGTTCACATTCCAAAAATACCACTAAACATTATTTTTTAAATAATAATAATTTTTTTTTGCAGAGAGATTTGCATCAGAAGTTTTTAGCTCACCTGAGCTGAAGGCTCAAGTGAGCTTTTCTGATCACATTTTCTCCGTCGTCCGTCCGTCTGTCTGTCTGTCTGTAAACTTTTCACAACTTCTTCTCAAGAACCACTGGGCCAATTTTGACCAAACTTGGTACAAAGCATCCTTGGGTGAAGGGGAATTTAAATTGTTAAAATGAAGGGACATATCCCCTCGCAAGGGGTGATAATCAAGAAAAGGCAAAAATAGGGTTGGGTCATTAAAAAATCTTCTTCTCAAGAACCACTGAGCCAGTAAAGCTGAATCTTATGTGGAAGCATCTTGGGGTAGTGTAGATTCTAAATTGTTCAAATCATGACCCCCGGGGGAAGGGCGGGGCCACAATGGGGAATCAAATTTTTATATAGAAATATATAGGAAAAATCTTTGAAAATCTTCTTCTCAAGAACCACTGGGCCAGAAAAGCTGAAACTTATGTGGAAGCATCCTGGTATAATGTAGATTCTAAATTGTTCAAATCATGACCCCCGGGGGAAGGGCGGGGACAATGGGGAATCAAAGTTTTAGATAGAAATATATAGGAAAAATCTTTGAAAATCTTCTTCTCAAGAACCACTGGGCCAGAAAAGCTGAAACTTATGTGGAAGCATCCTGGTATAATGTAGATTCTAAATTGTTCAAATCATGACCTCCATGGGGAATCAAAGTTTTAGATAGAAATATATAGGAAAAATCTTTGAAAATCTTTGAACCACTGGGCCAGAAAAGCTGAAACTTATGTGGAAGCATCCTGGTATAATGTAGATTCTAAATTGTTCAAATCATGACCCCCGGGGGAAGGGCGGGGCCACAATTCAAATTTTTAGATAGAAATATATAGGAAAAATCTTTGAAAATCTTCTTCTCAAGAACCACTGGGCCAGAAAAGCTGAAACTTATGTGGAAGCATCCTGGTATAATGTAGATTCTAAATTGTTCAAATAATGACCCCCGGGGGAAGGGCGGGGCCACAATGGGGAATCAAAGTTTTAGATAGAAATATATAGGAAAAATCTTTGAAAATCTTCTTCTCAAGAACCACTGGGCCAGAAAAAGTGAAGCTTATGTGGAATGGGGTAGTGTAAATTCTAAATTGTAGGAATCATGACCCCCAGGGGAAGAGCGGGGCCATTATAGGGAATCAAAGTTTTACATAGAAATATATAGGAAAAATCTTTGAAAATCTTCTTCTCAGGAACCACTGGGCCAAAAAAGCTGAAACATATGTGCCCATGGAAGGATCATGGGGTAGTGTAGATTTCAAAATGTCTAAATTATGATCAGTGGGGTAGGGTAGGGATGCATTATGTATAACAAGGGGGAAATCTGGTAAAGAACAGAATGGTCAATGCTTCTCAGGTGAGCGATGTGGCCCATGGGCCTCTTGTTTGGTCATAATTTCATAAATTTCAATGAGAACTTTATATACTCTCAATATTAAATTCACAAAGTGAATACAGTTTCTTTTAATCTGAATTTAGCTACAAACATTTTGCACTCTTGTGCATCTTAATGATTACTTTAGAAGCACAAATTTCCATGATATGTCATCAAAAATAGTTTAGTTGTTATGAAAGTTACCCTATTCAATATGAAGTCATAAAAAATCCGTATGGGATTTAATTTCGTTGATGACTGTTAGCAACGAAATTTAACCCCCCACTAATATTTGTGCTTTTACAGTACAGTGTATATGGGAAGAAAATTAGACATAGAAAAGTGCTTTACATGCATGTATTGTAATCAGCTTTCAGACCCGAGATGTATACCTAAAAATCTGTCACCTGATACACTGTCATAAAGCCATCAATTCTAGCAAACACAATCAATAACAAGCTTGATAAAGCCCTGCAAAAAAAAAAAAAACAAGAGGCCCATGGGCCACAACGCTCACCTGAGCACTAAGGGTAGGAAAAAGTAGAAAATGGCTTTTTATTGTAAAGTTTAAATCAAAAAGTAGTCCCATGACCAATCATGGATTTGCTATTTTTTAGAAAATGATTTTTAAAGAATTTTCCTACATATATCTTTAAAAACTTTAGTCGGCCATTTTGGCCCCGCCCTACCCCCGGGGGTCATGATTTGAACAAACTTGAATCTACACTACCTGAGCATGCTTCCATATAAATTTGATGAATTATGCCTTTGTCATTCTTGAGAAGAAGATTTTTAAAGAATTTTCCTATATTTTTCTATGTATAACTTTGGTCGGCCAACCCCCTGGGGTCATGATTTGAACAAACTTGAATCTACACTACCTGAGCATGCTTCCACATAAATATGATGAATTATGGCTTTGTCATTCTTGAGAAGATTTTTAAAGAATTTTCCTATATATTTTTATATAAAACTTTGGTCGGCCATTTTGGCCCCGTCCTACCCCAGGGGGTCATGATTTGAACAAACTTGAATCTACACTACCTGAGGATGTTTCCCTGTAAGTTTCATCTTTCCTGGCACAGTGGTTCTTGAGAAGAAGATTTTTAAAATATGCCACCAAATTTTCATTAATTCCCAATTATCTCCCCTTGAATGAGGGTGTGGCCCTTCATTTGAACAAACTTGAATCCCCTTCACCCAAGGATACTTTGTGGCAAGTTTGGTTGAAATTGGCCCAGCGGTTCTTGAGAAGAAGTCGAAAACACACCTGCCTACCCTTTTTATTACAAGGGTGTAATTTCAGTACATTTTTGGTGGAATTTCAGATGTAAAAGCGTAATCAATCATATTTTCCTATTTTTTTACTATAAATACTTTATTTTTGTTTTTCAAAACAACTGAAATTGTACATTACTAAAAAAAGCTGGTATAAACATTTATTAATTTTTCGAATCATCTGTTGGCAAAAAAGTGGCACCAAGCGTAAAATTCCAGTATACTATATCAAACTCAATTCAACCGTACACATTTAATGGAGCATTTGATCAATTTGTTCCAAACCACTTCATTGAAGGCTTGTGTTTGAATGTTACAACAAATCGTACATTATAACATTCTGTTTTATCTTTTTAACACTCACATTTCTCTATCTTATTCTAAGCAATGTTAAAATAAACTTAATTGAGCATAGAAATGGCTGTACGTTTTGCAATATCATTAAATAGTTAAAGTAAGTAGTGCCATCATGTCTTCTTCCGAATCTTCGCCATACCAGTTTACATGTAACTAGTGGGTATATTAGGCCATGCAAAGTTAATTACTTGGTTCTCAGGCCTTTTTTCAAGAAATATGATGAGGGAGGGAGGCATTTTTTTTTCTTTTTTATTGCCCCCAAAACATGATGAGGCAGCTTTTTACATTGTACAAAACCTCAAAAAATGATGAGGGAGGTGATTTGCTGTTTATATTTTATTGATTTAGCAATAAAAAGGGTCAATGAGGCACCCTTGGATGAGATGAGGGAGGGCCTGAGAACCAAGAAATTAATTTTTTTTTTTGCCTTAGTACATTATCGATCTGGTCCTCTTTGAATTACTTCTATAAGAACTCCCATTTCATTTCAGAATGTCGTACTTTAACTCTAAATTTAGACATTCATAATGGAATTTTAACCAAAATATCAAAAGCGTAAAATTATTATAAGTGGCGTAATAGCGTAATTTTAATGTTTGCTGTTCTTGTGATATCTCCTGTGTATTCCTATGTAAAACTTTGATCATCCATTATGACCCCACGCTACCCCTACCACTTTCAAAATTGTCAATTTTTTTTTTTTTTTTTTTTTTTTTTTTGCATTTTCCAACTTAAAGTTTTCAAAATTACTTCATAACTTCAATAGCTTTATGAAAATTTTTGCAATCAAAGTTTGGAGTAAATCTGTGATCATCTGTGCCACACCCTGATATAAAAGTGCAAAACTTTATATGACTTAATATAGTCAAGGTAAGAAAATGCATACAAAGCTTTTTATTTTGTACTTTATTGATTCTTGTATACATATGACCACACCCAATAATGATTGGTACTGTAATAGTAGAAATACAGCTGCCATAGAGGACTGCATCTTAATTAAAGTTGACATGTAAGGAGCTAGTTAATCCTATTAATCAATATATAACAACATGTACATCTGAAAAGCTTGATCCATGGGTCACAACACTCACCCGTGTCAAACTTTCTCTTCACCTTTACTCCAAACTTCTTTCACTCACAGATATCGTGATTCACTAAAGCAGCTTTGCTGTTTTACGGAGCAATTTTCAGAATTTTTTTTTCTTCTTTTTTTTTTTATATGTGTGACTATTTGTGATGATTTGATCAGTCATAAAAAATCCGCAAACCATGTAAGAGCGTTTCTTATTCTTAGCAACAGAGTGTCCCTATATTGAAAAGCAGTTCTGATTTTTTTTCTCCATACTTTTATCCATCCAGATTCACTAAAGCCAACGGTAGTTGAGTCACAAACTTTAAAACCATGCATGTGCTTTATTTGAATAAAATTGAATCTACCCTCTTTTAGGATGCTTACAAAGTCTTTCAGGATTCCTCTAATGTTAAGAAACTTCACACATTTGTGTTTAGGATCCGGGAGCTATATTGACCTGAAACTTTGAAATGTTCACAGATGACAGACAAAGAAATGGACGGATGTCGGATGACAGACTAATTTCAATCAGAAAAATTCAACCAACTGACTCAGGTAATCTTAAAGCCAATTAAAGAAGCTAAAACAAAGATGATGTTGTTTCTACTTCATTATTGAAAATGTTTTAAGAGTTCTGATACATTCTGGCATATAGTTTAAAACTTATAAAATAAAAGTGAACAAAATTTCACAATTTTGACATGCTTTTGCACCAATGACTGTATTAGGAATGTAACTAATGGCATTACATCAAATAGTAAATTATTCTCACAAATTCAGTATAAATTTCATTAAATAATAAAACATAAATACTTCAAACTAGATACATATCTACAACATGATAAATTCATCATGCAAAAATCAATAGTTGGCCTACACCTAGGTTATGTCTTAAACAATTAATACATGCACTAATATATGTAAAAATGAAATAAAACACAGAAAAATGCAGAAAGAAGAGTTAATAAACCTTTATATGAACTATAAAGTCATCAAATTCTTGATCTATATGTATTCTGTAAATTGTATATGCGCATATAAACTGGCAGAATAAATGCACTAGTACTGTGCCTTAATAAAATGAAAAACAATTACAGGTAAGGCCTAATATTTGCTGTAAAATTTCTTATATCATTAAAGTGTGCTCTCATGGATTTGAATTTAACATAAAAGTTCTATTAAATGATGATAAGGAAGGACTCAGAGTGTGAATTCATGTTTTCTCCCTCTTCTCCATTATTTCTTAACACCTAATCTTACATAAAAATAATGGTAATGATATGTAACCTAATTTCTAAATAATAAAAAAATGAGGTAGAACAGAAGAATCACTGAGTTACTTGACTTCCATTTGATTTTCAATGTTCTCCAGTATTTCGGGTTTAGAGACAGTCATTGTGTGGTCCAGTGCCGGGTTTAATGGAATACTGGCACTAATGAGATCATGGAAGAAGGCCCCGTCATTGTCCCCGCCACCAAAGATAAGTACTTCATCCTGTTCCTGGTTTTCGTGGTAGTAGGGTAGGGACAGTGCCTGATGACCACAGCGGGGGGTAGGCGTAGGGTCCATGCGAATCCGCATCCAGCTTAGAGTACCTGAAAATATATCAAAACTTCAGAAAATTTTCCTCCCTCATTCAACAAACAGTACTCAGCTTGTCATCCTGTTTGTGAAATATTAAACCTCGCCTCCAGTTTATGCAACAAAGTCAACAGATACAACAGGTTTAAAGATTACCAACAAAAAAACTTAAATACTTCAAAGCCAGACTTTGTACAAAATTTTGAATTTTTTTTATTCATTTGAGGACAAAAATGGGTGATGCCAATTGTTGAATGAAATGCAAGCGGACCTGAGAACCAAGTTGTAAAATTTATTTTAGGCCTGACTGTGTATTGTTAGGTATGAATAAAAAAAAAGTAGTAAAGAAACAGTCCACATGATAAAATATTTAGATCACTAATACGAGGCTAATTCTTCTACAATATTAGTAGCTTTTTAGAAATATCACAAAGGGTATCCCTTTCTTGAGATCCCCCCCCCCCAGAAAGGCAGAGGCATTTGTCTCATTTTAAAAAAAATTAACCAGCCCTACTTTTCTTTTAACTTCTTTAAAACAATATGTTTTAATTTCACAGTAACATTGTTCCTCATTTGAATTAAAAATTTTCAGTTTTTATTCGCCCATGGTTTAAGTTTTGTAGCTAAGGCATCAGCCTTCCAATTTTTTATGTCACAGTTAAATTTCCATGATACTCAATGAACAGTTTTACTTCTTAATTTGAACCAACCATTAGATAAGATCTGATCCTTTTTGGGTGCCGGTGACCTATAGAAAAAGAATTAGGCCATATAAAATTGAAATCTTGGTTCTCAGGCCCGCGCGCATCCATTTTGAGGTAGCCGCATTGCCGATTTTATTGAATTTTTGATAAAATAAAAAGTTGGTATTGCGGAGACCAATCCGGGAAAAAAAATTCCGACCTCATTTGTTTCGTAGTTTAGTATTCAAATATCACTTCCGGTAGCCATTTACAATGAGATTTTGGCTACTTCGTTTGAAAATACATTCGAGGACATTACCTACGATGTTTACACGCTGTTAAGCAGTGGATAAAGCAGAAATTTTGACCAGAAATGGAAAGTATATATGTGATTAAAAAAATATCTTTATGTTAAAGAAAATTCGGAAATTAAAATTTAAAAAAAATACCTCCCTCATCTACTTTATTACCAATAAAATGAAAAATAAAATGCCGCCCTCCCGCATCTGTTTTGGAGAAAATTGGCCTGAGAACCAGGGAATTAAATTTAGATAGCCTTACCTAAGTTGAAAATATGTGTATCCTCCAGGGCTAGGTTTCCATCATACCCTCCATGTATCAGGATCCGACTGTTGGCCAGGGCACAAGAAGCATGCCAACTGCAAATAAACAATCAATTATCCAGTGCTGCTAAAGTAAAGAAAACAAGCTAATTCAGAGAATTTGTGTCCCCCGCTTAGGGAAAAGTAAACCATGCGAAGTTCGGGGGGGGTTTCGGATCCCCTTCACTGAATTTGTAGAATTATTAAATGTGTACAAATGTATACATACAATGTAAGCAAATAAAATATGCCAATATGGATATAAAGGTTTGATGGATTATTCTTTATTATGTGTGTAGAAGATTCTTTTTTATATGGAATATTTATCACACTGTAATGATGATATTATGAGTTTGTACAAGCCAGACCTCATAAATTTTTCATTTCACATGCTGAATACTATCGTTTAGTAAAAAAAAGAAAAGTATTTCGAAAAAAAAAAAAATGGATCATCCGAGATGCGATCCCGGGCCCTGTCACATGTGAAGCGAGAGACATACCACTAGACCACGGAGCCGCTGTAACATGGTGACAATTGTATACAAACATAAAGTGACAGACATGTATATATTCACGTTCGATATTTTCAAAATTTTACACAATGCATGGTGTCTAATTTAACCTTTATTAAACAGTTCTAATAGATCTATGTAATAAGAATATAAAGTCCGCCGACAACCTGTTTTATACGTAATAATTCTCCTCATGTCCCTGTGCTAAAAATAGCGACATGTAATACAATAAATACTAATAAAACAAACGGGGCGGGGCACTTTGAGAGGAGTGAGAGAGGTCCTAGGGAGTTTTGGTATAAAATTACATAGCAAAAGCTCAAAATCTTCTTGAAATATTGCCCGAAAATGATAGTGTTTCATATAAACAGAATGTATAAATTTACGACCTTGAACTTTGACCTTTTGACCTCAAAATCAATAGGGGTCTTCCTTAGACCACAGGGAGTTGTTATGTAAAATATCATTGCAAAAGCTCAAAGGGTTCTCGAGATATCGTGTGGAAAGGAAAGTATTATAACAGACAGAATTTGCTTATTTATGACCTTGACCTTTGGGCCTCAAAATCAATAGGGGTCTTTTTTAGTCCATAGGGAGTTGCTATGCAAAATTTCATTGCAAAAGCTCAAAGGGTTATCGAGATATCGTGTGGAAACGAAAGCGTTACAGACAGACAGAAAGACGGACGGACAAACCCAAATTAATATCCCCCACTTTTCAAGCGGGGGACAAAAAGGTATTCCCTCATCCTGGGAATACCTTGTACTGTGGGTGACACTCAATAACTCAGACCCTGTTTTCAAGGGTTCCAAGTTTTTAAGATTTCAGAAATTCCCAGGTTAGCCATTTGTTACTCCCAACAGTGTTAAAATAATATGTGTACTTTAATAATCAATGATGCAAATTCTTTTGTAGAGGTAAGTATACTGATAAAATTATGAATAAAATCATTCATTAGCATATAAAAATTTAGGATCAGACAGTAAGACTCACTTTGAGAGATAAAAATTTGTTCTATCAAGAGTTACACAAATTTTGATTGGTTATATTAGTTTTTAGTCTCAATTTCAAAACTGACCTTCTTGGTAAAGGTGGAGTGCCCAGTACTTTGGGTTTTGACCACTCAACAACACCTAAAATAAATATTTATGCATATCAAATAAAAAGAATTTGTAGAAATTATAACTTTGCAATTATGGTCTGCAGATTTCTCAATTAAACAAATCACTGTAACCAAGTCGGTGAAAAATTATTATTGGAGAGAAAGAATGTTTCACTATAGATAAATCACAATAAAAAATCTTTAGAACTTATTTTTTCATTGTTTACTTAACATGTTGGGTTTCATAGTCTAGATGAAAATTCTAGATATAAATATTAATTCATATGAAATACATAATAAGTAACACCACCTGAATGGAATATAATTTGCTAGTAATTTTGTTTTACGAAAGATAAATTCTTCTGTAAATAAATTATTTTTATTTGTGAAGGAATACCTTATAACGGGTATTTTCTGCGGTTGTCCAATTTTTGCGGAATTTTGCAGATGGAACAAATCCGCAAAAATTAAAATCGCAAAATATTTTTGATATGACTTCAGGTATTTTAGACAGGTAAGTATCATAAGTGATGCGTCTGCAGACTCATGTATGGACATGTCTTCGTTAGCGAGAAAATTCGGGCAGCATCGAAACTCCGATAACAGTTTTTCTTTCGATCTTATTTTCCACTTTTTAATCCTGTGAATTGTCTTCACTGTGATTAAAATAACGCTTGTGTATACAATATTGCTTTATTGTCTCGTGAATTTCATTCAAATCAGAGGACTGACAGTATTAGTTACGCCTCAATGCATGTGACACGTGTGATTTTGGGGGTGGTTGATTATGAAACTGTTTGTTTTAGCTTTTTTGATAGCAATTAATTTTAAGTGCACAGGTATTTTAGATTATGGCTTGGAGACATTAATTATCATCATCTTTATTTAAATTATTTTCATTTGGGACTAGGCATAATTTTTAAAAGGGTAACTAAAAGCAATTAGTTTAATCAAGTTTAATAGCATAATACATGTTCTCTGATGCACCTTTTAATCATGTGCCTGGATGATTTAACAAAACGTAATAATGGCAGTGCTGTAATAAATATTAGAGTTTGATGATCCTCTACGGTACCCCGTAAAAATTTTTTTTGCTGTATAGTGCAACTGCAGAAATTGAAAACGCAAATATTAATTTGCTACCTTTCAGGGGTTAAATCGCAAAAATTTCCAACCGCAGAAAATACCCGTTATACGGTATTTTGTTTATTTTAACACAGGAAGATTTTATTACCATTTCAAAATATTGTGATCCATATCAATGCTCAAATATTTTGAAATATATTGATGCTTCAAAGATGGATTATTTAAGCCCTACAATCTAATGAAAGTTATAAGGAATCGGTACAGCCCTATAATCTAATGAAAGTTATAAGGAATCAGTACAATTTGTTTCAGAGAACATCTGTGAATTTACATTGTTGTAAAAAAGAAATTCAATGAATTAGCAACCGGATATTTTAACACTTACACATGTCTAAGATGTGGAGATCATTGTAACAAATAGGAGCATCCCATCCTCCAAATATAACCAACTGGTCATTTATCATAGTAGCAGAGTGACTGTAATATAAAAATTATCTTAATACAACAGACATAAACATGTGCTAAGCCTAGTTACAGACCGAGACACATAAATAGGTATAAATCATTTCATTGAATTTGTACACATTTATATATATATTTGATATCTCTTGCTAGAACTTTTATCTTTTTACTCTCTCATACCCTGATCTACACAAAGGTTTCTCTCCATTGACAATGGGCTGGTACCAGTTTTCAGACACAGGAGAGAAGATGTGGATCTCGTTGCTGCAGCCATCTGGCTGGGGGTCTGGACGAGGGTAGACACCCCCAAATATCCACAGCTCATTCCTGTAGAGTGTGGCGCTATGGTACGCTCTTGTAGGGGCCTTCCCCGCCACCTGTAGACAAAATGTTAGTCATTGATTAAAAATATTTCTACACAAATTTATAAGAACATACAATTTGTTAAATCTCTTAACTCTATAATATACTTAAAAAGCCATAGGGAATGAAAATAATTTACATATCAATTCAAGCACATTTCACTGTAAATGAAAGTTTGTTTGAAATGTTGTTTCAATTGAATACCAGGGTTCGACATTCGCGCTCGTCACCTCGTCATTTCCACCCTGAAATGATTTCGGACGACCTGATTTTCAGTTTGGCTCGCCCAAATGACGACCTGTGACAAGTTGGGAATATTTAGGCCTAATAATGATGTTTAATATTTTAAACTAAACTTCATAAGACCTTCAAAACATATTTTCCTGTAACAAAACCAACCCATTCAACATGTTCAAATTGCAGCCGAGTAGATTTTTTTTCCTGCCAAATCTACGTTCGATCAATCAGCTGATGCAATTTTTACTAAAAGTCTTTAATAAAGTTTTATTTGAGATATAAAATATGTCAACTTAGTCAACGATCACCTTAAATATAAATAGTATAAATAATCTTCATTGTAACATCTTGCATTTCCCCTACAACTTTCCGATCATAATGATCGTTTTCTGCTGCTAGACAGCCATGTTGGGTGTCCACTGTAATATAACACCTGATTAATTCAGTCCAGGGTTATTTGACCCTATTTATTTAGGCCTTCATGGCAAGTGAAAATAAATATTTCAAGCTACAAACTTTAGCATTCTAGCATGTCAGATTCTGCTTATATTTTTGTTTGATAAAATACTAGATGACATCTTTACATTCCAAAAATGTATGGTTTACATTTTTTAATACAAACCCACAACTTCTATTGATTATCATAACAAATTTTAAACGATTTTCACATTAAGTTTTGTTTCAATTGATATTTTATTTGGACGACCTGAAATTCATTCGGGCGACCTGTGATCATACCAAGGTTGCCCGAATGGCGAGACCAAATTTTGACGAGTGTCGGACCCTGGAATACTATATTCAGGGTTATTTATTTCACACTTCCAAACAAATTTCCCCATTTACATTCATTTAGTCACACAGTTCTGTATTAAAAATTATACCGTCTTTTTTTAATTCACCCCATCTTAAATTCGCAGACCTACATGTAGCTCAGGGTGAAACAAATCAGAAGCAAAAATTCCCTGTATAAATTATTCAATATTAAAAGAAGAGCTTGTTTCTGTCTCAGACCATTTATCTCTCTGTTTACCTTGAGTAGAGTCCACTTCCACTCCTGCACATCCAGCATGTGTACATCATGGAACCACCTCTGGTTCTTAGACCCACCATATACATAGATACACCTAAGTGTGGGGTCATAGGTGGCAGTGTGCCCCATGCGATACTCCGGCTTTTGAGACTCTGTAAACACTTCGGGACAGGTCCACTTTCTTGTAACTGTTAAAGACATCAATAGTTGAGAACATTCATTTCCCATTACTATTGGGAAATCCAGTAAGAAAATTAATTAATTTTTTTGACCCTCCCAAAACATGGAATAGTACAAAAACCCAATACAAAGAAAAAAATTTTTTTCGCACCTCTTTCCCTGGATGTCTAAATGAGATGTGGGACCCCCCACCTCTCACTCTGGTAATGCATGATATTTTTTTAAAGTTCATTTTACTAGTCAAATAAGATTGGGACAAGGTAAAGTTAATCTTACTTATTACCTGGATTAAGACACCAGACCGAGTCCTTGACTAGCTGCTGCCTCTCTCCCTGACCTCCAATAACCACAGCTGTGTTGTTGTCAGTCATACACATGCTGTGGCCCCAACGACTGCTAGGATGTGGAGCTAGAACACAGAATTTGAAAAAAGAATTAGACAATATATCAGATCAAAAACTTTCAGTGTTTAAATCTTTTTGTCTTGATAAAATTAGGGGAGGGGTGTATCTGTAGTACATGCACAAGCAGCACAACTGAAGTTCTAATCCAAATCAGGCTCGATCAAAATTTGGTTTTATTAATATTTAAAAGATGAAAAATTAAGTTGTATTTTTAAAGGATGGAAAAGGTGCATAAGCACTTTTAGAAATTATACCTTACTGAATTCTACCTACCTCGGCTAGTCAAGTCTTTACATATAGCAACTCTAGGTTTCCCTCCTTCAATCATCCTAGTAAACTTATTAGTCTCAGGAGAAGATTTCAGGCCGTTTTCTGTGGCTATGTTTTCTTTGTCAGTTGTGGTGTCATTGTCAGTGTGCAGGGCCTTGCCTTTCCCAGTCCTGGACCGTTTTGGTGTAGGGCCTGTAGGGGTTTTCTCCCCTTTTGTTATACTGGATCTGCGCTTCTGTTTGACAGGCTTTGATGCATCCTTGGTCTTTCCTTTTTTAGATATCTGGTGATGAGACAAAGGAAACAGAAATATATTAAACTACAAAATTCCAAAAGAAAAAAAAAAGAATGTTTCAGTTTTTTAATAATATATAAAGTGAATTTAAACAAATCATAGTTACTTGAGATCACAACTGCTATCTTTATTTTGTTCAATAAAACTTGATTGAACCTTCCAGATTTTGTTTTAAGTTTCTCTATTAAAGTATTTTTAAAATCATTTATTTTCCACTCATTTTGATGTTTATTGAAAATGTCAATACAAGGGCTACCTTTGGTGTGGATTCATTAATTTTCTTGTCAGATGAATTCTCTTCTTTAGCCTTGTCTGTTTGACTGTTTGTAGAACCTGTGATGAATTCTATACAGAGCTTCGCCATGCCTTGTTCTGCCTCGGATGACATGATACCTGGAACCTCACAATGCTTTCTTTCCCAGCATAGAGCTCTTATATAAAAATTTAATATTATCAATAAAAAGACACAGTAATAATCTTTACTGTAAATGAGAATATTTATACCAGGAACAACTTGAAGTAAGATATCTTTCACACAAATATACCCTTCATTATTACTGACACTCGTATATTAAAATATAAAGGACTGGATAAAAGATGTGAATGGTTTTGTGCTCTTGTTTTTGCATACAAATCACCAAGTTGAATAACATGCATTATTACAAGGTCACTTTTAAATTTCTTGTTAGAAAACGAAGCAAAATTTTAATAACTACAAATAAAATCATTTACAAAGACTTGCCTGGTTTGCTCTGTAAACATTCCCAAACAAAGATGCACATCTTTATACGTTAGAGCAACCTCAACCTCAAGTTCTCCCACCTGGCTTGGCCATTTACCCAGTCCAAAAATTATTAACTGTTCTGGAACAGGGGTGGGGATGTACTGAGAGTATATGCCTTCTTCTCGTCTAAAATAATATCAATAATAATTATTAATATATCTCTCTGTAATGTATTTTGCAGTAACAAATTAAATGAAAATCTTGTTTTTGTTTGTTTTGTTTTTATAAATATTAATAATTCCTTAAGCTTATTATTTTAGTGTTAATTGGAATGAACAAGGGACATAAATGCAACAAATCATTCCAGAATTTGAACAGCACAGGGCCCCAAAATCACTCATCAGGTGCTGCATTAAAGATGTGAAGCAGAGTGTGCAAGTTTTACACTGAAAACTGGTGGTAGTCTGGTAAATCGTAATTTTCGGACACAAAAGAGATTGAATCATACAGCTTTGAAAACCAAAACAACAATTAAAAAAACTAAATGCATACTGGATTCTTTCTTATTCCCCCATGCTAAAGGGAGAAAAAGCCTCTGGAAGCTCCACAAACAGACATACTTTAGTAAAAAAAAATTGAGCAGAGTGAAGATAATGCAAACTAATAATTATCTCTGAAAGCATTCATTTTTTGAAATGTGTTTTGTCTTCAAAGAATCATGTAGTTCACTTTTTAAAAAAGTAATTTGGATGATTTGGAATAGAAGCCACGGCCACTGGAAGGTAATATATACTCGATTCTCATTATATAGCGGGTTCCATTGTATCGCGGTATATTCCAACCAGAAGTCTCTGTCGAGACTGTAGCTCTACTGGTTTATACTTAAAACAAAGGAAGAGAAAAGTAGCAGTTGGGACTTGAAACTTTAAAACGGCAATAAATAGAAAAATGATCCTTGCCACTCATCAAAATAAAAACCGATGCACAGAATTATGTATCTTAGTATAGTCTACTTGTGTGCCAAATTATATTGTAAAATTTGTAATCGGACCAAAACTGTAGGAGAAGCATTTTAAAAGAATTTCTCAGAAACTTCTATTTTTAGTTACCATGGCAACACCGCTCATTGAAATCAAAAATCGATGCACAGAATTATGTATCTTAGTGTAGTCAACTTGTGTGGCAAGTTATATTGAAATCGGATTAAAACTGTAGGAGGAGTAGCATTTCGAAAGAATTTCACAGAAATTTTTATTTTAAGTAGCCAAGGCAACATCGTTCATCGAAATCAAAAACCGATGCATGGAATTATGTATCTTAGTGTAGTCGACTTGTGTGCCAAGTCATATTGAAATCAGATCAAAATTGTAGGAGGAGTAGCATTTCGAAAGAATTTCACAGAAATTTCTATTTTTAGTAACCACGGCAACACCGTTCATCGAAATCAAAAACCCATGCACAGAATTATGTATCTTAGTGTAGTCTACTTGTGTGCCAAAAGTAGGAGGAGTAGCATTGAAAAATCACAGAAATTTCTATTTTTATAACCACGGCAACACCGTTGAAATCAAAAACCGATGCACAAAATTATGTATCTTAGTGCAGTCTACTTATGTGCCAAGTTATAGGAGGAGTAGCATTTTGAAAGTATTTCACAAAAATTTCTATTTTTAGTAACCACTGCAACACCGTTCATTGAAATAAAAAATTGTTACATAGAATTACGTATCTTAGTGTAGTCTACTTGTGTGCCAAGTTATATTGAAATCGGACCAAAACTGTAGGAGGAGTAGCATTTCGAAAGGGATTTCACAGAAATTTCTATTTTTAGTAACCACGGCAACACCATTCATTGAAATCAAAAACCGATGCAGAGAATTATGTATCTTAGTGTAGTCTACTTGTGTGCCAAGTTATCTTGAAATCGGACCAAAACTGTAGGAGGAGTAGCATTTTGAAAGAATTTCACAGATATTTCTATTTTTAGTAACCACGGCAACACCGTTCATCGAAATCAAAAACCGATGCACAGAATTATGTATCTTAGTGTAGTCTACTTGTGTGCCAAGTTATATTGAAATCGGAACCAAAACTGTAGGAGGAGTAGCATTTTGAAAAATTGTTTAACAGACAACACCGGAAGTCATTGAAATCTGTTAAAAACCATATATAAATGCACAGAATTATGTATCTTAGTGAGCAGTTATTTCCTTGTGTGCCAATGTTATATTGCAATCGAACCAAAACTGTAGGAGGCAGTAGCGATTTTGAAAAATTAGGTTATATAGACAAAATTGGGTTTGAAGTTATAAATCCAGTCTGTATATAATCTTTCGACATGAGCTAAGTTATTTCCTTTTTGCTATGCAAAAGGCACTATGAGTGCCTTTTGTGAATAATTTACTCGACTTGATAACACATGAATCAAATGATCCTGTATCGTCAAATATTATAATTAATAGTTTTTAAAATTTGGTTTAGTTTTATGACATGTATATAATCTTTACAAAGGAAATTTAAGAATTTTTTTACAAAAGTATCGAGTGCAACTTATGTGATCGAAAACATGAACGCCTTTCAGAATCGTGCTGATATCTTACACTTTTATGGCAAGTACAAAGGAAAGTTTTGAAATAAAAGTAAACAATCTCTACTTTTTGACAAAGATTTTCAGTGCTACCGTTAACTGCAGCTCGATATTCTGACCTCCTAATCATGTCCAAATATTCAGAATACTTTCCATTTCAAATCGATAATGATGCACAATTCAATCCATCGATGACTAATCATTAGCTAACATTGGTTAAATCCCTGTATTTCTCACAAAAATCACGCAATTTTAATAGCATTGCACTTTGAGTCCTATCAGGCATTTCTTCATTACGTCAAAACACAAGTGACGCATCTCATGAATATTTATGAGATTACGTCAAAAATTGATCATGTGACTGCATTCCTAAACAACGCAAGATGGAGATTTACTTCCTAAACAAGAACGTTATTTTACGAAATCTTTTAATTCTCATTTAAAGAACTGTGTTTAAAAACCAGTTTTTTGAACAGCTATCAGAACGTGCTAGAAACCAATTTTTCGCAAAGGAACACGAAAATTTGAGGTCAAATTTGCAATTTGTGGCTTCTTTTTCGATTTTGCCGATCGCTCACGCGATCGTCTATATACTGTACACCACCTTCGGTGGCAGCTATTTTAGCGCCATATTTATGGGGACCGGTATACTAGAAGTGTTCCACAGACAGACAGACGGACGGACGACGGACGCATTACTATCGCATAAGCTCTTCTGGTCTCTGACCAGTAGAGCTAAAAATCCAGAAACATAGCTCATATCCTTTCTGTTGAAATACTATCTGTTTGTCGTCCGAATGTAAACTTTCGTGATGATTAAAATGTTCTGAATATGCGTCGGTTAATTTTTTAGTCAAATAAAACGTAATTTTACAGATTTCCTTTCCCGTTTTTATCATATTTAGATCATTGATTTTATAACCTAGTAAAAGCCATAATAAAGTTCATGTTTCAAAAGTCTTTAGTTTGTATAACTGTTTATTTTTTATGTAGAATTACACCATAAATATAAAAATAAAAATTGAAGTCCGAGTCAGCCACAAGTTTCCATGTTTTCCCATGCCGCGATACTATGGGACTCTCGAATTTAGGAGGTAAATAAGACTTCCGTTTTAAAAATAGACAACAAATTAAAGAAATAATTTGACACTAAAAAGTTAGGCCATAGATTGGTTTATGGATAGTATCTGGTGAAAGTTAAAGTAAACAATTGGAATAACACTTTTTATGCAAAAGGATTAAGTACCGCGATATTATGAGACACCAGTATAAATACTTTTTTTACTCATCAACTACCCCACTGCCAAGTAGCCCTAATAATTTCAAAGGTGTTTTTTCTTCAGTAGACTTCTAGATTAGAACAATTTCTATGAAAACATTTAAACTGACAAATAACTCACCGCGGTAACTGTTTGGGATGTTCATTAACATCTGATATGCAAAATATGTTGAATTCTTCCATTGTTAGACTTCCCCCAAGATTGTAAATGGCGCTAAAAGTTGGCGCAAAAGTCAGTTGCAAATGGAGTCGAAATTAGTTTTCGGATAAAATTGGAAAATATGACACCCTTTGTTGTAGGCCAGAGCACAGGCACCTGAAGTGTGGATAATAGCCCCCCTCCCTTTCTTAATGAAAAAAATGAGTGTATATAATATCTCAAAAATATATAATTTCCCCGTCAAAAACATCTATATCATTCTATGCAAGCAGATACGGTATAATAAAAAAATACACTGTGTATTTTTATTATACCGTATAAGGCCATTCTTTAAAAGTGAGAAAAAGTAAATCTGCTTGCATAGATTGTGTTTGACGGGGAAATTATATTTTTTGAGATATTATACACTCTTACATTTTTTTTTCATTAAGAAGGGGGGGGGAGCTATTATCCACACTTCAGGTGCCTGCATGTGGGCCAGAGGGGGTTCCAGGGTTGGAAATAACACTTCAATCACAACCCTATCTACTCACTAGATTTTTCTTGCTTTTTTATCCGTTTACCTTCACTACCACCACCAACCCGCCCTTCCGCCACCCGCAAAAGGCTGTCAGTCACGGAGTGTGTGCACGTGAAAGAAAATGTTATAATTATATTCATTGAGTACGATAAGTAGTTCTGCAAAGTTTCAATCTGAAATCATTAAAAAAATCCAGTGAAATATACGATAAGTAGTTCTGCAAAGTTTCAACTTGAAATCATTAAAAAAAATCCGGTGAAATATACGATAAGTAGTTCTGGAAAGTTTCAATTTGAAATCATAAAAAAAAATCCGGTGAAATTTTGGCGATCTACGGTATATCTTCAGAAGATACTATTTTTTTTAAGTCACGAAGTTAGGCGTAACTTATACAGAGGGAGCCCCCCCCCCCCAACTAAAAGTATAATATTTCTTAGTTATAGTAAGCATAACAAAATGTCCCTGGATATGGAATGCCATATACGACAGCCAACTGCTTACTGCCAACTGCTGACTGCTTACTGCCAACTGTCAGCTGCTTACTGCCAACTGCCACACATATTTGAATAAATTTTATATTTGTATTGATATTTATATGAATTTTCACAAAAAAGGGAAAGGAAAGGCACGGATCCAGGACATTTTTTCCAATAGGGTCACCCTGGTAAAATTGAATGGAATAAAATGACCAATATATTTTTAATTGATTAATTAATTGATAAAGTACATTATTTATTTTTTAAATTTGTTTTCCTATTTGAAATAGGTAATAAAATGACTATTTTCTGCTTTTACTCTTTAAAAAAGCCCCCCCCCCTCCCCCGGAGACAACAAAACCTTTGAAGAGAGACTAATAATAAAAAAGATTTGTCGTTTCGCAGAAAAAGATGTTTTGAAAATAAATTTCCGTTTTCCATTATATTCTATAGTTAAAAATTTCCTCAAGTTAAAGATGTATATCTCTGTGTGTTATAATGTTTCACATGCATAGATCGGGGGGGGGGGCATTTAAAATTTGTTCAGTCATACGTTAAATAAACTAAACGAACTACCAGTATAACTGACCTTGGACCCTCCACTTAGAAAACGCCGATAAAACATTAATATCTCTTTGTTTGTACAAATAAAATTTGTTTTACATGCATAGATCTAGAGAGAGGGGTCCGGAACACCCCTCTGAAATTTGTAAAGTTATTTAATGCACAAACTAAACCAACTAAAAGTTATTTAATGTATAAAATAAATCAACTAAAAGGGACCTTAGAGCCCCCCCCTCCCCAACTGAAAATGTGGATTCGTGTTAAGTTGGTATGAAAAATGTCATACACATGAAGGTATGACGCACAGGAACCCCCTCTCCCCGGCCGAAATATATTTTCACATTTAGGAAAGGATTTTACGTATTTTTTTTCTTGTCAAGAAATTTCTGGGTTGGATTTTTTTTTTTACCAGAGTGACCCTCTTGGAAAAAATGTCCTGTAGATCCGCGCCTTTTTTTTAATTTACATAAATATCAATATCAAAATAAAATTTATTCAAATATGTGTGGCAGTTGGCAGTAAGCAGCTGACAGTTGGCAGTAAGCAGTCAGCAGTTGGCTGTCGTATATGGCATTCCATACCTGGAACCCCTCCCAGAAAATTTCGATCCTTTAAAATGGAAAGAAAAGTCATGTATATCTGAAGAAATAAGATTTAAAGGAGGAATGCCACACCAAAATTTTATTTCTTATATTGAATTTTAAAAGACACCCCTATTAAATTTTGTGTCCAAAATAGGCCATTAGATTTATTATATAATTTTTTTTTTTTTTTTTTTTTTTTGCAGTGGCTAACTGTGGGACCCGACCCCAGTCCCAAACTAGTCCCCCTTAGTTCAAAGTTTCTGGATCTGTCACTGATGGTTTCAGCATTAAACTGCTTAAAGGCTGACATTATAGCTCTCGATATCAACAATCTATTGGAATTCCCATGGGTACCAATTGCGCCCCGTATTAGCTAGAAATTTTGTATATATTCTCGACGTTTAGATATATTGACAACGTATTGTTAGTTTTAAACAATTATATTATGGTAATTTTCATTCCTATGTAGATGCGATATATCCCGGTGAGGTTTAGATAAAAGATACCACAGAGTCTGACACATCATATTTGGATATTTTTTACTTGAAAAAGACGTTAATGGTAATCTAACAACCAAGCTCCGTGATAAACGTGATGACTTTAAATTTACAATCGTCAACTTCCAAATTTACTAATGCATCAATATACCTTCATCACCTCAGACCTGCATACGGAGTTTATATATCTCAGTTGATTCGATGTACGCAAGAGCATGCTCTACGTAAGAACAATATTTCTAAACCGCGGTAAATTATTGACAAACAAGTTGATGTAACAAGAATATCAACAGTCTCGTTAAAAGTCATCATACTGACTGATATTTTTCATACTGATTGTTAGTCCATTATTTATACACTGAATTGACGACGGATTTTACGGGTTTTTTTTCGAACATGACAAGGAGCACACGACGGGTGCATGTGCAGGAGATGCTCACTCCTCCATGGCACCCAATCCCACCTCTGAAGCTTTGGAGGTCCATTTTGCTCCGCTCCTATTTTGTATTGTTTTATCGATTAATTTTTTAAAATGATATTTTTTATCAGTTCTTTCTAAGAAAATGAAAAGATTGATTTGCTTTCAAATAAGACGTTTTAGAGTTCAAAATCTGCTGTAAATGAGTGCATCATATTATTATCTTATAAGCTTTATAATAAACGTGATGACTTTAGATTTCAATCGTCAACTTCCCTTACTTATGCAGGAATACCTTAATGACATGCATACATGTATATACGGCATTTTTCTTAGTTGATTCGATACGCAATGCTCTACGTTTGAACAATTCTAAAATGATGTAAATTATTGACAAACAAGTTGCTGAAACAAAAATATCAGCAATCTCGTATAAAGTCACCGTTTCGTAAGTTCTATACACATATAATCGTTACACTGACCTTGTCAGCATGCAAATACAATTTATCATGTACAATGCTGACTGATGTTTTTCATAATAATTGTTAGGCCATTACATAGACATTGAATTATCAACGGATTTTCCGTTATTTCCCGATCATGACAAAAAGCATACAGCGGGGTGTTTGGTCTGCGGGCAAGGGATGCTCACTCCTCCTTGGCCACTGATCCCAACTCTGAGTTTTCTGGTGGTCTGTGTTTGTTCGCTCGAATTTTGTAAAGTTTCATGGACTTTTGAGCTTGAATACTGATTGTTATCTACATATAAATTCATGCAATGAACATATATGTATACATGCACATTTTCTACTATTAAAAATTATTCATGAAAATAAAATGTATTTATATAATTTGTAATTATTTTTTTTTAAACTATGATTTAAATCTTCCCTAAACTAGTCACAACTATAGGGAGAACATGTTAGTAAATTAAGTAATTTATAATTTAAAAAGAAATATGATACTGCGAATTTTTTATTTTTTTTGGCTGATCCACTGTGGGATCCGAAACCACTTGGCGCGAACGGGTATAGGGGCGAAACAACTCAGACTCAATATTTAGCTGGTTCCCCTTACGTAAGCTTACGTGGAAAGCTATAAATAAGCACTAGATCACAGAATTTCCGCTGAGCTGAGGCATTCATAGAGCCCCAAGATAGAAGATGACGCTAAAAATTCATATTACTTATTGGTTTGTATAATTTTTGTTATTATATTATTATACAGTTCTAGTTTATATTCCGAATTTTCTCTGGCAGGGAGCAACTAGCGCGGATAATGTATTTTTCTGCAACATTACTTTACATACCAACAACTCAATAGTTGAACTGTTCTATGACACCCTTGAACAATTTTTAATAATAAAAGAAAATAGATGTACAATCAACTTGTACAATATAAGTAAGAAAATCATATGATGAACTTATGATTTTCTTATTTACAATGTACAAGTTGATTGTACATCTATTTTCTTTATTGATGCGTAGAGAAATGGTAGGTTGTCTTGCTGATTTAGGAAAAGAAGTAGGATCAGAGACATATAAAGCCTATATGTCTCTGGTAGGATGGATACTTGGCTGGGAATGACTCCCAAATTGGCAAATTATACATTCTCAATGTTCTAGTTGTATACTAGATAGAATGTTCTATCGTTAAAATGATATTGTCCTACGGACCCAGTTGAGGGCCTGTACCGAGACACAGTTAGATTATTCTAACTAGTTGTATACTAGCTGCAAATCTGTAACTTGCTGGATTGAAAAAAGAAATGGGATGGATGACCAGAAAGCTACAGTGCCATGCAAAGCAATATTTGTAACAATATATATTGCACACAAAAAGTTGCGCTTGGTTCTAGATTAATTTCTCCAAATTCTTACCTCAGTTGCAAAAAAGATAAATTTTGAAAAATTCCTTTCTCCTCTTTCAAGTACCGGTACACTTGGTTGACATCTGCATAAAGGGCATTTGACGGCATTATCTTGCAAACCAAAACGGCATAATAAACAAAAAAGCAAAATTGTTGATAGGACCAAGAGCGTAATGAACATGGATTTTCCACACCATTTTGGGAATGTCAGTGAGTCCCTAGCCCTTGGAATTGGGAATTTACCAAGTGAACATTTTATCTGTTATTGGGAAATTTTATAGCGTGGTGTTTTTCAAGAAATATACAATGCTAATATACAAATATGATTGATAAATTTGATCTTTTCCTTAATTGCTCAAAACACGGGAGATAACTCGGTGCATTTATTATGAACAATTCAGATTGGAGAGTTTGGATTGTAAACATGGCGTGTAAATTTGAAGCAAGAAAAAATACGTTGAGAAACTAAGTTAAATTTTCGTCTTAATATGGGTTATTTTTTAGGATTTAAAGCATATACAAACTCAGCCTTTCAGCACAATTCCTTTAAGTTTTGTACTCCTCAAAATCATTCTGGAGCAGATCCATTCTTTTTTGCTACATTGCAATTAATTGGGACATATATTATTCTAAATGGTGTGTCCTGAGACACTGATTATAATCTAACTACAAATGTAATTACAAAATGTAGAAACTCGCTTCAATTTTTTTCTGCATCTACTTGTACAGCAAAACATGCTAATATAACGAAATTCAAGGGATGAGAGAATTTGCTTCATCTATAAAAGCATAATATTCTTTATCCCCTAAGTTTAAAATATATTTTTAAAGTTATGGGGAATGAAACTTTGCTGTAAGCATAATTTTATTTTAAGTGTGCTCGTTATAAGTTTTACTGTATTTTAAAAGAAGAATGACTAGTGAGTACATGTAAATGGACCTAGATGAACATGAACATCAATATTAAGTCTGATGATAAAGCATTTGACATGCTTATTAATAAACTCTTACTGTGAAAATAAAAATGATTTTTTTTTTTGCAGTGGTGCATGAGGATACGCCCCCAAGGTAAAAATGTTTTGTTATTTGTAAAATAAATACCAAAAGAGAACACATTCACACATTTATGTAAAGTACAATATTCATCTCAGTTTATTCTTTAGCTTTACAACAGTCAACACAGTTTTACATAGTACGAGGGGTGATCAAAAAGTTCGCAAACTATCTCTATATCTACAAAACCACAATTCAGATTAGAATGAAATTCGGTACACACATAGCCATACACAAGGTCTATAAATAGCATATGCTGAATAAAGTTTCTCTCCTTGTTTGTGACGTCACAATGTGAAAATGACGTCACTATTTAGGTCACTTGTGACGAAAAATGGTTGTCTCAGTCGAACTCGTTCACCAAACGACTGTACAATTTATTGTAATATCTTAGAAATCCCTCTACAGTATCATATAATAATTTGTACACAGTTTATTGAGATAAATGAGTTCCTATAAATTCAATTAATGATTGGATTAATCGTTTTAGTGAAGGAAGGCTGATGGTTAAAAATGATACTTGTCATCTTGCCCAGTGAAAGCAAGTTTGAAAAGATATGTATTCTTAATTAAGCAATTTGCTATCAAAGACCTCCAATTAGCACTTTGAAAAATAGTTGAATATTTGAACAATGATATAAGTATTAAATACCTAAGATATTGTTTTCTTTAGATTTTAAATGTATTAGATGATAAAAAGGATGCACCCATTCTATATCCACCTTGAATAAAGGTCTCTCCTGAGACAGAAGATTTGTGTTTTAATGGTCGCCATGCTTATTTTTGGAAAGGATGTTATCTGTTGCCGAGATATGACCATTTCTGACAAATTAACTGTTCTTGTCATAAAAATTAACTCACATGGAAAGAAATATAAAACTCGGAAAAATCTTTTAACTTTTGTGACAGAACGCTACGGAGGGGGTCACGTGACCGCCAATATCACGTGATTCGCGCATGCGCAGAACGGTGGTTGATGTGCATTAAAATCGGGGAGGATTAATTTAAAATATAATCAACATTAAAACCAAATATCAGGGCTCAAAATAAATATTCAAAAAACGAAAATGATATGGATTGGTAGTAAAAAATTTTCAAAAGATGTATATCATCATTCTAGGTGGAAGTTAGACTGGAAAAGCACAACTTTTGATCTTTTAGGGATTAAGTTTTCTGTAAATTTAAAAGACATGATTAATCTTAATTATACATCAAAGTTAAGTGAAATTAAAAAGGTATTGAATCAGTGGAAACTAAGAAAATTAACCCCCATTGGTAGGTTAACTGTAATTAAGACATTGATTATCCCTAAATTAAATCACTTGATTCTTACTTTACCTAATCCACCATTAGAAATTATAAAAGCTTTTGAGGATGAAATTTATTTTTTTCTTTGGGGAAGTAAAGTCCATAAAATAAAAAGAAATACTATAATTCAAGACTACAGGGATGGTGGCCTTAGAATGGCTGATTATTCAGAGTTTATAATAGCATTAAAATCAAGTTAGATAAGAAGATTAATTCACTCTGATTCTAAGTGGGTAAAATTATTTCAATCACAAATAAACATAGATATTATAAATCTTTGGTTAATGGGTACAGACTTTACTGCTAAATTATGTAAAAAAATAACAAACACTTTTTGGGTAGATGTCCTTAAAAGCTGGCTCAAAATGTGCTATGCAGAGCAAGAGAAAAATAAAAATATATTCCAAGAACACATATGGTATAATCCAAAAATAATCATGGGTGGGTCTTCTGTCTTTCTTAAAAGCTACTTTAATGCTGGTTTTGTTTTCATAAGTGACCTGTTCAACTTAGACAAGAATTTCTTAAGTTTAGACGCTTTTAAAGACCTTGGTGTAAAAACAAATTTTGTTGAATTTTCTGGTTTGAAACAGGCTGTGTGTGACAGATTTGTTAGCAAAAACCAAATGAATATATTTTTTTCTTATGGTCCAAATTTACCCAGTTCTGTGAAGATGTTTTACATTAATATGAAAGGCTGTAAAGATATGTATGACATTCTTATTAATAGAAAGAAAGAAACAAGTACTTCCATTTTAAAATGGAATGAAAAGGGATATCTATTCACCATGCAAGAATGGAGTAAAATTTTTGAACTCCCATTTAAAATTACCAAAGAATCTAAACTGCAGTGGCTACAATTTCAAATTTTACATAGAATAGTTCCAACAAATTTATATCTTTTTAAACTTAAGATAAAAGAATCTCCAGCATGCAGTTTCTGTAAGACTGACATTGAGTCAATTGAACATCTTTTTGTTGAATGTAATTTAGTAAAAGAGCTTTGGAGTGATATTGAAGAGTGGGTTTTGTGTAAGTTTAATATATCTTTAATTTTTGACAGAACAACAATATTATTTGGCAAACATAAGAATAAGGATGCCCATAAAGTGCAAAATTTGATGACACTGATAATTAAGAATTATATTTTTTTGACTAAATATAAAAATCCTTCTGTTCTAAGTATAATGACTTTAAAAACAATTATTGAGGAAAGATTCTTGATTGAGAAATTTTTACTTTTGAAACAATGTAAATATACAGAGTATGAGAATAACTGGCAGAGCATCTGTGATATGATATGATTCATTTGTACAAGTCTACATTTACATATGTATTTATGAATTTTTTCAAGAAACAAATCTTAATCTTTACACCCCCCTTAATGTAAAGAAAAAAAAAACAACACTATGCCCCCTATATATTTTTTGTTTTTGATTTTCTCTTTTTAATGTTCTTTTCTCGCTCCCTCTCTCTTTCCTCTTCTCTTCCTTTTTCTATCCTGTATATTAAAACAACTTTCACATGTGTTTAATTAAATGTGAATTTATGTATGTGGATGTCCTTTAGTAAATTTAATACTTGTATATGCTATCTATAATAGATACTTGAAGGAAGATATATTTGTGAACATACTTTTGTATTAAATGTGAAAGTTGAAATAAAATTTAAATTAAAAAAAAAAAAAAAAAAAAAAAAACCAAATATTGTATCTTGTATGGAAGTTATTCAATTAGTTTGCGAACTTTTTGATCACCCCTCGTAGTCAAATATTGTGCATGTCTTGGTACTAACTTTCATTAATTTATTTTTCAAACTCTTGAATTTGTACAAGTAGACAGGTATTTTACATACTGCAGTGCTACACCATGTACATGTTTCAGTAGTGTTGTTGCAATAGCTAGTTGCTGACTATCAAAAAATCCTCAATGAATGAAGGCAGCAAGTCAGCAACAATTGATAGAAAATTTTAAAATCGATGGTCACTAATTTTTTCAAAGCATTTATTTTTTTATGAGCTGCTTTATCTTCTGTCATTAAAAAGAAGATCAATTTTCATTTCAGTTTCGCAAAATTAAAGCGGAACTTGAGAAAGAATTTGGCAATGACTTGGAAATAGTAAGTACCTGTTCAGTTTACCTTTCTTTTCATCAGGTTTCCTATCTGTAATAAGGCCTCGCATCTCCAATTTTTTTGTCATTTATATAAATTTAAATGGAAGCATCCTGAGGTTGCATAGGTTTAAGTTTGTTCAAACCATGACCCCTGGGGATAGAATGGGGCCACAATGAGTGATTTGAATTTTACGTAAGAGTGTATGGAAAAAAGAATCTGCTTATGAAGAACAAGATGGGCTATAATTACTGTAACTCATGTGAGCCCATGGACCTCTTGTTGCATCTTTCTGATGAAAATTGCCATGGAAATATAAAATATTTTTCTGCAATTAATTCATGTCTAACGTTGAATATAAGATAATATTTTTCTTCTTTTTTTATCATCAGACAGGGGAGGGAACTCCAACCACTACAGGTTGGCTGGAGGTCCAGATTGTAGGAGGGGAACTTCTCCATTCCAAAAAGGTATTGTTATAGTCTTTTCCCAAGAATTAAGAATTAAAGAGCCCCCCTTTCCAGTTTTATATACTATAAGTGATCGTATCTGGGTAATTTTGGGTATGTAAATTCTTTTTTAAAAAAGATAACTAAAAAAGTAATACATATATATACAAATTTTTGTTCCTGTGTTTGCGAATTTTGTAATAATTACTGAATGAATTTAAACAGAATGGGGATGGATATGTTGATACTGATGCCAAGATGGAGAAGATCAAGGCAGGTGTCAGGAAGGCTCTAGGAAAGTAGGGGATTCGTTGCATGTGGTGGTAAGATACAGCCATTATTACTCTTAGATTATTTTCATTTGATTTGAACGTATTTTATTATATACTGAAATATAAATGGATATGGCAACAGGCATAGCCTATATAAGCCCTCTCCACAGTAATATTATTTTGACATGGAGACAAAATGTGAAATATATTAAAGCTTAAATATGTGTGTAATCATTTTGCAGCTGATGAGAAGTGGTGGAGAAATAAAGAAGAATCACCCATGAAGGGTCACATCAAAACTGACTACTCTGTCATGCTGTGACCTGGAATAACTAGAGAGGAACCTTTGTTTCTGCACCATTGAACATCAACACTGCTGGATGTGAAAGATGCTTTACCTCATTCACAGTGTCCTCAAACTTTTCAGCATTAGGTGTTCCAATAGGATTGATGAAGACATTTGTTTTTATATATTTTCCTTTTGTTGTACTATCTATACAAGTGTAAGACATATATGCTAGGAATCTCAGGAAAATCGATTATTTATAATAAATTTGTATACTTCAAACACTTAATAAATATTACTTGTTCATAAGATATGCAAACAAAACATGGTAAATTATAAAGTACCAATGCACTGTCCCGTGGTATCTTTTGCAATTTAGTGGAATATAGCTACTCAGTATGTATGTGTGTGGACATGTATATATACGTGTATGTATGTATGTGTTGGTATGTATAAAAAAAATATATATATATATATATATATATTTTTCATTTCTGTGTATGTATATCTCTGGCTTTTTTGCATTATGGTACACGGTGGTACTTCTTTATATATTTTTAATTACAATATGTATTTAAAGTTCACATGTTAGCAATTATTTCAACTTATGAACCATGTGTAAATTATTAAGTATATACATGTACTAAGAACACATCACATCTTATTAATAACTATTATATGCTCTGTTTAATAATCATGTATGTAATATGCCCACAAGGGCCCTGATCTGGAATAAATCTATTCTATTCTATTCTATAATAAGTATTTCAATGATTTTGATAGAGATTATAAATTCAAATCTTTGGTGTTTTTTTTCAGAGACAGTTTTTATAATGTTAAAATTAGATTTAATATGCTGACTCTTGTTATCTCCCTTGTGATGTAAATATAAAATTACGTATATTGACTTTCAGAAATTTCACTCATTCCAGGTTGTAACATGTTCTGAGCTTTATGATTTTTTTTCAAATAGGCTATAAAAGACTGGAATTTTATCTTTTATTTTTCATTTGACCTTATTAAAGATTTTTAAACTAAACTTGATAGTTTTTGTATGAGTGCGTTTGTGTGGATGTACAAAATTGAATAAGCCCATAAACGTTGTAACACAAATTCACATGCCAAGTTTACATAATTCAAGGCATGGAAGTATCAAGATCGATGCAAATTTTTAATATTTTATACTTTCTTGAACCACACGATGTGAACATCTGTCCTAACCATAATGTTAATGTTTTGTTTCATTCTTGAAAATTTTCCTTTCCACGGAAATCAATTTCATTGACTAGGGCTAAAATGCAAGAAACAAAAAAATCATGAGTTTCCAAAAAACTTTCATATTTTAAGGTATGCCATGCCATTTAAGAAGAATAGGTTAAATAAAGTTAATATTATGTGTGTGACGGACCAGACCAGGATTTGCTTGCTGGTCGCCATTTAGTTCAGTTGGTAAAACGCCTCAATGACAGGGGATTCAGGAGTCTTGGGGTTCAAATCCTGGTGTGGTCGGTCACATTTTCTCCTCCTCCTGTTACATAATGTGCTGTGATCATGCACTTGAATATGACAGGTGAAAGAATTGCCAAGGAAGAGTCTGGATTAGTTTTGGCAGTTGGACGAGTTTGAGGTTTTGATTTGCTGATGGCCAGATACTGCTCAGAAGGGTACCTGAATGGAGATTCAGGGGGCCTGAGTTCCAGTCTAGCTTTGGCCCTTTGCATATCTAATACTGTAACAATGGTTTGCTGTATCAATGATTTATAAACTGAATTCCATTCTAAATTTAATTTGGACAAAAAATATCATTGACTTATTGAGTGTTTTGCAGTTTCAATACAAAACTTAGAGGAAACTGTCCAAAATCGAAAATCCTCTTGGAGGGAGGTATTTAAAAGTTCAAAAAAGGGGCAATAGGCCTTTTGATGGACGTTTTCAATAGTAAAGACGTTGGGAAAAAAGTAAAATTGAAATATACTGAATGAAAATAAAAACGCATGAGACGCCATATGAATTTCAATAACTCATGAATTAGCAGTCAAAATTACATAAGAATTTGGTCACTTGTTTATTAAAGATTTTAAATGTTTGATAAGTTAACAATGTTGTAAAATGCCTTCGAAGTAATAGCTCTAATTTACTTCAAAAGTTTTCTTTTTCCTTTCAGTATATAATATAAATTAAGTGAAAGTGAAATATGCATTCGCCATATTAGGCAAATCGGCTTTAACAGATATTTGCTATCAAACTATATTGAGCAGAAAATTTACAGGCGAGAATGTGAATTATTGTTTACTTTGTGAAAGTGCACATGCAAGGATGTGTCAATCAAAAGCTTTCCGAAATTAGTAGTTTCAATAATTTCCGGATAAAATAAGTTCTATAGTGTATTTTCGTGTGAAATGTCATAGCAACATGTAGCCCTCTCCTTTTTTTTTGGGGGGGGGGGGAGGAAAGTTTTGTTCTTGAAACAGTGTAAAAATATGTTAGGAACACACGGTTAGTAATATTTTGAGCTGAAAATAAAAAAAAAAAATGGAGAAATAAATCGACAAACAGCGTGATTTCTGGTGCGCAATAAATATATATATGTACTGTTTTCAATGGGTGGCATTGTAGCTCTCCGGTCTGTCAATGTAATTTTTTCGGAGAGCTACAGTTCTTCAGCTTTCGGACGCAAGTACTCCACTGAAGTAATATGTTACGCTACAACTCCATATCATTATTCGTACAGAATTCGAAAAAAGTGGTGAATTGACACTGTTTGGAGCATGCTTCTGATGAGTCCGTATAAACCTAAGTCCCGTGACTCAGTAGGTGTGGGTACGGAAAAGATCCCTAATTGCTCAGTGACCCAAAGCGCCAAGCATGCGCGGATCTAGAGGGAATATCGCAGAGTGATCTAACCAAGTAAAAGTGATCTTGGACCACCCATAGACTACACAAATCCGTCGCAGAAATGCGAATCTATGTGAAAGCATAATTGTGAAGCTTTAAAAAGAAAAGTCAACGACCCCCCCCCCCCCCTTCCCCAGCAAAATACGAAATATATTTTTCACGTTTTGGAAATGAGTTTTTTTTTTTTTTTTTTGCTTGTCAAGAAATTTCTGGGGTTGGAAATTTTTTTTTGACTGGGGTGGCCCCCCCCCCCCCTGGAAAAAATTCCCGGATCCGCGAAGTATAGATCTAGATTAAATTTGCAGTCCTCAATCCACCGGTAACGATTGCGACTCAGCATGACTGATATTTTCTCCAAATGGACGTTAAAGAAACAAAAAATTAAGAGGCGAATGGGAAGTAGGTAGAAAATTGCTGTAAAATTGTGTCGGAATATGGCCTGAACCTAGCCGGAATATATGGCCTGAACCTAGCTTGAAAAGTCGATACATAACCAACGACCATCCTTTAAACGCCAAGAGTGCTGAGTCAACACGTGACAGTTTGACCAAAACGGCAACGTGTTGACTGCGGACCCGCGCTGGCATTGCAAGGATGACCAAATGACAGGCATGGGCATAACCAAGCTTAATTGTATAATAAAATATAAGTTTATAGTATTATCGAATATATGTACTTTTAAACAATTAAATAAGCTGGGGAGAGCCTACATGAATATCACGGTATTTCAGACACACCCTGATGAGTCCTACGAATATGGCTATAGTATACTCTTGCTGCTCCGAAAGGAAGAGATTGGTGGGTTTGGGGCTGCTGAATAGTTGATTCAGGGTGAATACTTGGTCACGTGGGACCGAGGGGGAGCATCCCCTCACCCTAATACGCCAAGTTTTTACCAGTTATTTCATTTAATTATTTTGCCGAGGAAAGAATCACGCAAATATATACTGAAAGGAAAAAGAAACGCATAGTAAACTTTTGAATTAAATTAAAACTATTTCTTCGAATATGTCTTCCAGATTTGTTATTAAACATTTTAATTCATCTTTAATCAACAAGTTTCCAAAATCTTGTGTGACTTTGGCTGATACTAGTAATTCATGAGTTATTGAAATTGATATGTCATAGGGCCCGTCACCGTCATGCTTGGTTAGAAACCTTTTAATTTTTTTACGATGTCTTTGACTCAATGCATTGTTTGGCACTAAAAATTGTGATCACAAAATTATCATCATCAATATGCGTGTTTTTTTTTTTTTTTTGGCTTTTTATCACTTTACCCACGTGACACCATACATTCCATGGTTGAGTAGTTTTTGACCAGCAATTTTAGTGCAAAGTAACCAAAATACACATCTGACCAATTTTCATAATTTTCGGCCACATAGTCAAAATATTTTTTGCATATTATGTTTCCATGCGTTTCTTTGTCCTTTCAGTGTAGTATTAAGCACAGAGGCAGCTATTAACTGAGTGACTATATAATAACAAAATTATAGTGCACTCATAGTCGCAGACCCAGGCGACCCCCACTCCACTCACCATTTGGATAATATATATTATCTATG